GTTGATACCTCAAACCTATTTGTATTTCTTAGTCACTATTTGGAGCAGTTACCTGAAAATTCTTCAGTTAAAGGGTGGTTCTATTAGACTAAAAGGTCTCTTGCAGTTGTACTGTGCTGGAGGTATTGTGGTTACATGATAAGCGCTTTTACTCTTGAGGATTTGGTCGATATTTGCAGGGTAATGCTATACGAAGTTTATTAAGGGTATCTTCTTGGGCGGAAGTGGTGTAGTGGCAAGTGGCACGCTTACCACGCGAGCGGTCCGGGGATCAAATCCTGGGTCGTGAGTCGCCCGGGCCAACCAAGCCTTCCATCCCTCCGGGGTCGGTTAATTGGTACCAGACTTGTCTGGGAGGATAAAAACACTGACTTGTACATCGGCTGGCCCCCGCAAGTCATTGTATAGGCCACATCGCATTCAAACGCCACTACGAATGTACAAATGGAAGTAGAATGCGTGCCGCATCCCAAAAAGGGATTGATCAACGGCAAATGCTTTATCCTTTATTTATCCTTATGTCATATCTACACAAACGCGCTCGAAATAGACTGGACCTTAATTGCTCGGCACTTGGAAGATCCCAACACGAAATTCGACTCGGTGTCGCCATGGTGGTTTAGATATTTGGAGGTGAAGTTACAGTTGGGTAAGATTCCACAGAAGTATTTCTTGATGACGGTCTTGCCTTGGCGGCTATCGCGGGTCGGCCACAAATCGTGTTTGGAATGCTTTCACCCGACAATCGTCTCCGTCCGTTCCAGCGTCGTCGCTCATTGATACGAACACTAGTGGGGAATGCCATTGATCATGATCTCAGCGCACGCAAACCTACCATTCGTTTAGTAAGCAGTAAAATCACCTCTGTGATCGTAGTTCTCCGAGGTTTGATGCTATAGTTTAATGTTTTTCCCGCGGGTGCACTGCGAAACAAACATGACTGGGATGTACGCGAATATCAGATAAGCGGATATCTGTTTTCATAGCTACGTTCAAAACCTGAAAACATAGATTTTTTGACCAAATCAGCTTGATTCCCTCTGTCAGCGCAGGGCAGAACGATTGTACTGGTTTCTTAACAAAGTGCGCTCGTGCTTGGCTGCCGAGGAAAAAAGTCATCGTTACTATGAGTTTCTTTTGTAGAAAAGCCTGTACAACCACCCTGTTCCGTACAACTTCTCACAATTCAGCCTCTAACAAAGAGTTGCTCGACTTGCTTCCAGACAGTCATCTATCGTCAGCCACGCCCATGCTGATGTGATGTGAAGCCGTAGCTGTGGTAATTCACGCCTGTCTCGTTCCACTCTATAGCAAACCCACAATTTTATTTGTGATTCTATACAATATTTATTTGAATATTTGATATTCAGAGAAGTGCTTTCTAAAAATCACAATATTATACACATGAAGTACTTAGTTTCGAATCAAGTCGCGCTGCTGGACTGCTGCACCCTTGTTGGAGACCGGTCACGCGGGAGATATGTGCTTGGTCGATTATTTATCGATATTGGTTCCGATCGCATACCAGGATCAGATGTAGCGGCTGTGACCACTTCCTTTCTGGTAAGCGAATCAATTTAATAGCAATCGGTGATGGTTGTATGTCACAAAAACCATCAAATGAAATTCTGTAGGAAGTAAGTTGCTGAATAGGTGGACATGTGGATACGGTTACAAGGCTATTGTTGTTCGTCGTCGTAAATAAGGAGTAATACACCAGTACAGGAAATATGCCAACATGTTGGTCGAGCACTTGAACCGTGTATTGAAATTTTTAAAAATATCGAAGGGTTTCTCCGGATGCGCCAAGTCGTCAAGTTCGCGAAGGGGCATGCTTAGATGGTCTTACCATTAGAGAAATTAACAGACACGCGCTTCGGTTCGATAGACTATTTTCCGGCTAATTACTTATAGAACCTTGTTGATTGTTTCTATTAGTCTTCCAGGCTATTTAAGGCTTACAATTTTTCGTACATTTTGAAATATAAACTTGCATATTCGTTCGAGTACGGACAAAGGTTACATCAAGCAAAAAGGTTTATTGATGTTGCAAGTTGAAATCGAGTCTAAAACTGAATGATACAGGCCATACTAGAACAGTATAGTCCTATACCGCGAAATTAGCGAGAATCTGCGGTCTTTTTAATGACGTTGGAATTACCAGAATTGGTAGAAAAGATTTGTCGCAACAATTTCGTACAGTCGTTAACAAAATCGAAACGACAAAACATCCGTTTAACCGAATAACTAAGTTTTTTTTTGTGGTGGAGTGACATGATTCTTGAATATGCAAATGGAACATTATTTATCGGATGATCGGTTGCGTATCTGTGTGAGATTTTTGTTTTGGATTCGAAAATGGTTTTGTTGATTCACTGCCATGAAAAGGCTTGGCATTCCGTTAAGGTAATTCGCTGAACAAAACTTTAAGTGTGCAGTGCGCGCGCGCTATTGAGCGAGTTCATGTTAGAGTGTGTCCATAATGATTCACCTCAAAAACCAGTGTGTAATTCCTTCAATCAGCCAATGCTTGAGAGTGGCGACGAGCCGCTGAGAGTGTAATACTCGAGTATAGCAATATACAGTCGTATATTGACTACTGCTAGATGGTAAGTGGTTGTTTAACCGGTTCATGCGAAAGGGACTGCTTCGATGTCACAGCGACGGTTTGATGTCGTGGCGGGTCGTTGACCTACACAACCGGGGTCAGCAATGATAGTGGTATTGTTAAGAGTACCATAATACCTCCCTCTAAAACGTCTCGTAAGTTTCAATTCAAGAGTGTACGCGAGGAATAAGGCTGGTTTTTGCGAGAACATTGTAAAAACAAAAGCAGTTATGCGTCAGGTCGTAAAATGTCGCCTTGTTATTGCCAACTTCTTTGAGAACACGATTTCATGACCGCTAGAGGTCATCACATTTCGATTCTATCAGAATAACACTTTCAATTTAAGAATGGCAGTTCTTGTCTAGAGGGTTCTGACTGCTTTTGATTTTTTTATAATATTTTACAGCGGGATGTAAATGCAGTCTCGTAGAAGCTGTTACTTGTTTGTCATATGGGAATTTGAAGGTGTATGAGCTAAGAATTTCCAGAATTTTGAAATCTAATTAAAATTGGTGGTAAAAATAGCATCAGTCGAGGAGAATTCATCTAAAGAATGATGTGTTTTGTAGAGGTCGTCGAAGTAGTCAATCACCCAGAGAAGTATACGGTGGTGCCACTCAGCCACCGTAATGTTTCTTTGAGGCTAGGTAGAACTTCCTTCTTTTTCAGGCCTTATTGTATTGCGCATCCATCTTTTTTTACATCAAACATTGTTGCAATTCATAAAAGCTTTGGATTTCAAGGTCAGGCGCTTTCTTTAATTTCAGTCGTAATGAATTGGAGGTCTAAGAATTATCATGCCATTCGCTATGACTGGAAAGCGGTGGCCATCTAAACCTATGGTGTTAGTTTCGACTGTGAAATGTAAGGTGTGTGTGTAGCTCTGATATGCATCATTGCCTAATAGCGATCAAACACTGTTCCTAAAAATGGTTCGTCATGGTTCTTTTTGGTCATGCTCTGCGCCGTTACGCTATCAGTGAACTGGTAGGACATCCGCAGTGGTTTTGTTATGATAGCCTGTGTGAGTTTACCGTTGTCATTGTGGCGATCGATTGTGTCGTCGTCCGTTTCTCGATTATCAAAGTAGGAGAGACCGATTGTCGCCGCGGTACAGCGGGGCGGCGACTGTTGGCTGCGTCGTGCTGCGTCGTCGGCGCGCGTCATTTACTACCGCATGTCATATGGTGGTGCTGACGGTTTTCTTTAAACCAACTCAGAGCATGGCTTTCAGCAGACAGTGGCCTTTCAGCCCGCTTTGGCATTACCATGCTTACCATGCATTACCCATGCTGAATCCTAAATTCGCTGACAATCGCTTTCAAGCAGAAATTTTTGTGAAAGGTCTTTCCAGAAAATTCTACCCGAGTTTCTGTTCCTTTTCTTTAAATACAAACAATATGACAACAGTGAGACTTGGTAAGCTGTTTCTGAATCAGTAAAAGGCTGGAACTCTAGGGAATGCTAATTTCGATTTGTTTCTTCTATTCATTTCTATTTTTTTCACGTTTTCCCTGGTACTGTACCTGTGATCGTCCTTCATCTATATTCTGCTCTTTTCCAAATAGCATTCGTTGATATGGGCATTTTTAGCTTGTTCCCATCATACCGTATTCTTCATGTTATGTTTCTTCGTTTTATTTATTTAAATGGGCTTTGCTGATCACGTCACCAATTTTTAATGGTTGATTGACCAGTAAAGTGGGCTGGCTCATGTGGGTGTAACAGCAAGAAGTACTGTTCATTTTCCAGAAATGAACTCGTTGTTCTCTAATTATCCATTGTATAACAACACAATTTCTACCGTTTTTGGAGTGCTTAGAACGGCTGGTTTCTTTCAAGTAGTACTTTTTTGAATTGAATTCTATTGCAATTCTTCATAATATTATTGCCTTTGTCACGAACAATTGCGTCATAATTGCGAGCTTATATGAGCTCATATGTTGCTTTTACTCCTAATTGTTGAACAACAGTCGTCTCCGGGCCTTGTCCGGACGCTCTCAGCCATCCACAACTCGTCACTCTTTCATCATTGTTTTTATCAGTTTCTCGATAATTCGGCGTATCATTCGCCTTCCTCGAGAATTTCCTTGTCACTTTGTGACTTCCGTTTTTATATGATGCATGTGATTCCCCCATGTGACCTTCTCATAATATCGTTTGACCGCCGCCTGATCGCAATATTCGATGATTTCGTTTTCGCTAGAAGATCTTCTGTGATTATCTTTTCAATTATGTTTTGCTTTCAGAGTTCATACACAAGAAAAAGCGGTACTGAAGTGCGTGGGAGGATAGCCCACGTGTGGAGCCGCTGTCTCTCTTTCTCGCTTACTCTCGCTCGCCAGCTCGCTCTTCAAAAGAAGTGTTGATAACGTCGTGTGACGGCCGAAAAATGGCTTCACCACGCTTCGACGGATCGCCTGAACAGGCAGCGCTCGATGTACACAGGTTAGACTTCAAATTGGGAAGATGTTCGAAACTTGAAAATGTGTCATCGATAGGGGTGGTCACGATCAGTGAATATCAAAATGTGTTTTTATAAGCTCCTGCTTGCCTTTTCGGATAGAATCACGCGAAATCCTGTTTGGTGGGAATTTCTTCAAGTTTCGGAAAAATCGATATTACGGAATCACATACGCAAACAACGGTGGCGTCAATGCGAGTGGTCTGGTGAGCGGCAGCCGCGTGTTCAATAGGAGCAAAGGCGCTAAAAGGGGCTGCACTTAGGATTTGTCGTAGTGCAGAGCGGATCCAAGGTTTCATGTATTATATATTCGAATTATACCCTGTTTTGGAACTGAAATGGAATATATTATTTTACACCAGAGCAGATTCTCACTCTCGGATTTGTCGGATAAACGGGGATAAGAGCGTTGTTCATACCAATGAGCTCGAGGATTAGGAGTAACTTCTTGGAAAGCATGACAAGCAGATTTTGCTCTTTTGAAGCGGTTTCCAGAGGAGTTCACTAGGAGGTGGGATTATGAGGTCTACATTTTTTTGCTACCATCGTACCAGGAACGGGTAGTGGCAGAACAAGCGTGCATGTGTTGATGATCCGTCACAGTTTTTTGTCAATGGATGGTCCATTTTTCTCATGAAGCTACGTCGACATGTCTGATTTACAGTAATCGAGATGATGTGGCTTCCTAAATTTCAAGTGTTGCCATGAATTTCTACCATTTACAATGCGTCGTTCGTGATGAACGCTACCTTAGCGATCGTTTGGTACACAGGTGTCAAGGTTAATGGTCTTTTAGCAGTTTAAACGGTTTTTGCGGCGAGCTTAGTGTAGCGGGTTCAAAATCGGAGTGGTCGTTGTGAACGAAGTGAACGAATTTTTGGTGTTTCTTGTTTCTTTTCAGTTTCTAGTGAACTAAACCAAAATTGATGTAGTGTATTAAATCAAAATTGGTGGCCTCGAGCTCTTTGACATCTCCAAAAGTTAGGCTCTTGGCCCTGGGTATGCTTATTCTCTCGATTTCATTCTTTTAAGGCTCGAGTCAGACTGCGGCGATTACGAAAGCGTGGTGATGGTGAAGCTCACCGACGAGATTGTTGCGGCCCTTATGCAAGCTCAGCGAAAAGGACTTCAGATTCGGGTTCACATCGAAGAGCAGGTAAACATCCTTTCTTGCACATTGTTTGCTTGCTGACTTATCTTTAGTTAAATTCAATATAGTCTTAATTATAGTTAGGATTTTGTAATGTTGTAGGGAGGTAAATGGGAACTCGGTGATCCAGCTAACGGAGGACGAGTTTTCCGTTATCAACAGCAAGCCCTGCCTGGTCCTCCCACTGATGCTGTCGTCCATGATCCACGGACCGGAACACATCGTGCCGTCGCTGCTTTCCGAAGCAAATATCAGGTGATTCATATGAAATTTGCTGATACCAAGAAGTTCTATTGTTGTTTTTTGATAATCGCCTACAAGCACTGCTCTATTATAGCGATCTTATATGCTAACTTGTTTTGAAGTTAAGCTTGTTTAACAATCGCTTCAAACGTTTACCTGAAGAGAAGATTAGGGATCAAAAGTTGTTATTGTAATAACAGAAGGCTTTGGGAAAAGCTACATCTTTTGAAGTTTTCGGGAGCTGATCGTATAAAAAGCGCTCACTCCCATGATACTTTGAGGGTGTTTAAATTAGGCCCGACTGACTGCTTGTAGGGAGTCATTGTGACTGACATGGGTTATGCTGGTTCTTGGCGCTTGCGAATGCCTAGTGATGGCAATCCACTAACCAAGGACGGCTAGTACATATGCCGCGATTCGTGATTTAACTTGCTCCCGGTGACTACGTAGATGTGAATATCTGAGTAGGAGTTTTGGAAGCATAGTTCTGGGGCATGAGACGTGAAAGTATCACAAGCGGGGCAATACAATTAGAAGTTTTTAACGCGTATTGTCGTCTTAAGTTGCACTAAGCTGTTCCACTTCATTTCTGTGCTAGGTAGTGTTAAATTCACTTGTTCTGTTGCCCCTCGAAACTTTTATATTGCTTTGTTTGATCAAATTTTTATATTCTTTTACATTCATACTATTTTCGTCGCATATGGCTGCTAAGCTCTGTTAGGCCGATGTTTTCATGTTCACTGACTGACGCTCTGCTATGCGTTTTTGAGCAGGCTCATGGCGACTGAGTGGCTGGTTTGAGTGAATACGATCCTAGATAAGGGATTGATGTGAAGTTTAGAGGAATGTTATTGGATTTGCTAGAAACAGTGTAGATCTCCATATCGGAAAGGATTTCATTATAAGCTTCATTCAGGTAGTATGTTGGAGGTTTGCTAATTAAGGATAACTCACTGGTAGAGTACTCCTTATACGTAATAGACACTGATTATCACTACAAGCATCAAGCCGTTAAAGGTTTAGTTTTTTTTTGCTCCAAGGAGCAAGTTTTGGTGGTAATAGAATGACGAAACGTGTAGACGTGTTTGGGCGCTTTTTCGGGCACGTTATCGCTGCCATATGTTCGATCGTACGTTCATCATGGTCTTAAGAATGTTATGATATCACGCAGATTATCAACAATTGAATTGGTTGTCATAAGTTTTTGTAAAAGTGCTCGATCATGCAGTGACAGTTACGCTGCTGAACTCGTTGCTGTAGTGATTTGGTTTCCTTCAAGAACCTGACTACGAAATCGGGTAGTCGTCTAATGGTGTACGACTAATGCGATAGGTTTCCCAAAAGGGCTAAGTATGTGATAGTTGGATGAAGTTTTTCTAGCGATTTCATCCATTATGACGGTCAGAAATGTTTCAAGAGCGAAAAAAAGCAAGGGAACGTTTCTGAAGCGGATCCTATTTGTTTTAAGCCGGTCCATTTGTTTGATTTTGAAATACGAGCAAACAAACCGAGGGAGCTGCGTTTTTTTCCCTTGGGAATTGAGCTAGCCAGGCCGATGGGAACGGAATTATCTGAGAACGCATTTGTTAGGGTAGAGAAGGGAAATGTGATCGAGGGTAAATGAACCTCAGGGTAAGGACGTGCTTATTATGATTGAGAAGTTGGTATTATGCTCGTCAACTACGTTCCTTTTTTATTTCTTTTCTTGTTCACAACTTTCTTCTTTCATCTCTTCATTTAAAGCGAATACTACGGAAGGTCTTATGGTGTTATTTCTTCTTCTATTCCCTCACCCCCCCCCCCTCCTTCCCCATCGATCCTTTTTCTCACTGTCTCTATCTCGGCTCTTGTCCTATTTTTAGCGAAGGGACTTTTTGTACCAAATTTGCCCACATCCTTTTTTTCTGTGATTGCTGCATTCATGATTGACCATCTGCTCAACTTACTTTGAACTGTTTAATCCTAAAACTAACGGTTGTTTTAGAGCAATAATAGGGTTGAACAATAGTGACTGACAGCCCGCTGAAGGAATGGTTTCGCTCTTGCTTTTGTTGTATTTCAGTTTTTCTTCCGGTCTTTCGATCTCTCATGAAGTGTTGGAGTTCGTGATTGCAATATCGACCTTGAAAAGCATCTGCAATTTTGCGAAGGTGCAAAGGCATGACCTTTGCAAATTTGACTTCCACACTATTGTAAAACTTGAAAGTTTTCAGAACTCCTTTGAATTCGTTTGTAAATACTCGATTTGTGTAACAGAAACTGTTCAGTTAGAGCGTTTTTTCAATGGCACTTTATGAATCTAATGAACACTCCGAATCCATTTACGATCAATGATTGAATGCTTCTCATTAATTCCGCGCCCGGCACATTGAAGGTAGCAGTGGGTGATGGCGGTGGTGGATCGTTTGAAAGATGGTTGAGAGAGTAGATGGGAAATGATGTGGTGTAGGAGTTGCTGGAAATTGATAGTGTGCGCGATCGTCTCTCCAAAGCGAAGAACCACTCGAAGAAGATCACTATCTAGCCGTAGGCCGAACCTGACTTGCCGCCGATTATGCTATGCAAAACCCTCTTTATGTCGACAAATTTATGTTTGCTCACATTGACCGGCGGATTATTGGGAAAGGAAGAAGGAAGGCTGGAGTTAACATTTGAGTATAATCATTTGTAAGGTTTGACACAATTTTTGAAATTCAACCTCCCTATAGCGTCCTAGACTTAATTATAGGATTCTGAATGGAAGCTGCGATAGGTGAGCAAAACTGGAACAAGGTTGGAAGATTGGGAATAATACGAAAGTACGATATGCCATGGGATGGTAGAAACACCATATGCAGCACACTTTTTGTCCAAAATCAGTTTTTCTAAGCGTTCATAGGTGCGCCAATCCGAAAACGTGTAAAACTCTAGTTTCGATTCGATCGCCACGTTCCACTTCTATTGAACAGTATGCATGCAGTTGGGGAAAAGCTGTGAAACGGCTAGCCAAGTGTTGCGCTGATAAGCGACCTTTTTGTTGGTAATGTGTGACTAGCGGAACACTGTGGTAGCCTGGTAACCGTCACTAATATCCTGTTCAACAAACACTAAATTTGACGGCGATTTTACACCTCCGACCCAAGACAACTGAACAATAAGCCTGCGCATAGTACGCGACTTGGGGATTGGATAGTAGGCGACAGGATATTAGGATAGTAGTAGAGTAGGAGATTGCGCTGACAAGATTGGATACGTATCGATTGAAATCGCTGGAGAGTAGTAGATTGGGCGACTTTCAAGCGAATAGATCAATACGTATCTAATCTTGTCAGCGCACTATCCTAATCTACTACTATCCTAATCTCCCGTCAATACATATCTTTTTCATTGTCGCGTACTATCCTAATCTCCGGAGTCGCGAACTATGAACGCGGCTTGATTGTTTAGTTTTATTCATTTTATTATTATTATTATTATTATTATATCGGTAATAAACACAACAGAACACAAAACATTATGTTATATACAATTTCGATATTTTCTTCCTATCAGTTTCAGCTAATCAGTGATCTTGGACCGCAAATTATCCGACTGTTCCGAATTGATTATGTTTAGAGAGCCAATAATTTTCGTAACTAATAAATTTGACTCGGTAACTTGAACAGCGCAGTAGCGCATAGGTTTTCATTTACTGTATATGAAATTTTCATTTAATTGGGTTTAAATTCCTTTTTGCTTGAAACGGAAGTAGTGAATGGCTAAGTCTCTGACATAGTGATTAGTTTTGGTGTGACGAAGTGCAAAGTCATGAATTTATTTTTTAGATCCAAGCGACTGATAAATCGTTTCGCGGATACGAGGGAGCGTGCACAGAAACTCATCGAAGAGGAGAAAAGTCGTGGCACAAAAGACGTTACAAAGTGAGTATGATTCATCGGTTTTTTGTTTGGATTCACGATTGTCTATTACCACGTGGATGTACCCCTGAATCAAAAATATACGGATTATAGAAGAATTTTCAAAGGAAATTCGCGGAAACGGTAACGGTGTTGGTGTGTAGCATAGTTTTGTTGTTTTTCTATCTACAGCCCCTTATTTTTTTTTGATGGGCACCTCTGCGAATGAATTTTTCTCGGAACCTGCGATCGGTATTTTCTCCAGAAAGCAACTGGCATGAATTCTGTCCGTTATCTCGGCGCCATTTCGAGTCAGACTTTAGGACTGAAGCGACTGGCTCAAGCGATTTCCGCGATCGATCGCACCAACCGCGGAAATCGCTTGTGCCAGTCGCTCCAGTCGTAAAGTATAGCATCGGCCTCACTGATTCTTCTTCAAAATCGAGCCAGTCTGATTTGAACTCTACAGTGTTCATTTCGAGTTGTGGTAGTCACTTCTTTCTCGTGGCATACTCTTGAGATTGTTAAATTGGAAAAGTTCTTCCTTTGCATTGAAAACTTGATTGCTTTAGGAAGGTTATCAACCAATTCATGTGGTGCTCATAAGTTTCCAATCACTTGAATTGCACTGTAGTTTTTGTTTTTACTACTATTTATAAATGATGTTTTTATGATGGCTAGTTACTAAACTTTTTTTTCAAGGCATCGACAAAAGGGTAATCTTCTTAAAACGGGTACGCCACGTCTCGGCTCAGCCTCCTCATCACAAAATGTCTCACCTCTACTGACACGAACACTCGACAATTCGTCCTCTCGTAGCAGTCCCAACAAGGTTAGTAATAGTGAATGCTTTCCGCGTATTTTGGAATGCACGGTTTACAGCATGAAGTTTTTCGTTTCATGGTATGAGCTGTGAGAAATACGCCTTACACTCAATCCGCACGTTCCCAGCATTTTATTGCTATTTCTTGCAAGTTATGCGCGTAGTAGTTGATCGCTCCGCTCGTTCACATTTTTGCAGTTCTTGCAGACAAAAGCATCGATGATAAAAGACGCGCATTCGATTCACATTTTGATTGCATATTGCGCGCTTAGAAATCGAATTATTCGTCGTTGGAACCCGTTTCGGTGACTTTATTCTAATCTTTCGGTGGACACGTGTGAAAGCAGTGGATGTAGACGTTTCTCATGACGATATCGACTTTTCCTCTTCACCATTTCTACCGTGCAGACAATAAGTTTCGCGCGAAGAGGCGCAAGGTCTCAGAGCAGATGTTGTCTTGAGATCAACAGCGGGAATTAGTGAAGTGACATTCCGATGGGACGATTAAGATTTGGTTTTCTCCACTAGCATAACAAGTGTGACAGAGTCATGCCTAGTCCGGATTTCATTCCTGCAGGTTAAGACTCAGTTTGTGAGTCTGAGCCATGCATGCGTTTGCAATAAACAAGTTGTTCAAGAGCAATAGTGGTAATGAAGTGAACTGATGAACCTCTCTGGGGTTCTTCAGGGAAATCGAATATAACACGTAAAGGTGAAGACGTTCCTATACAAATGAAATGCCCAATGAGGCCATTGACCACCCTTTCATGTCTATCCCATCGGCCAGCGCAATCGAAACGGTAGTTTGTTGTTAGTTAGAAGGATATCCCACCGAAACATTTGCAAACTGATGTCATTTCCCAAATGCACAAATCTGTCAAAATTCTGCTAAATAATATCAGAAATAGATATGATAGAAGCTAAAACATTCTTTTACTTTAGTATTTTGAACGTTTCTTTTGAACAACGTGATTTTCTGCCGCCTGACATTCTTCTTAAAATGATTCTAAACTTCGTCACAATACCGCAGCCTTCTGCAAACCAACTCAGTGACTGCTGCTAAAGGGTCTGGGTTTTTTTTGCTACTGGATTAAGCATTTCAAACAACATTGTGGAAATGAAGCAATGGTTAGCTTGACAAGGTGGCCAATGACGAACCCTTACGTCATTTCGAATGAAAGTTACTCAAAAATGTGGCATTTGTGATAAGCTGAAGAATCCCAATGCGCGTTAGATAGCCGGCACATGTGATTATGTGCACAAACTGTACAGCGAAGCATCAACAATTGACTTAAATGTTTTTTCTAAACATTTTTGTACATGTGTAATTAGTTGCCAATTCTACGTTCCCATGCGCATATTGCATTCTTTACAAATCACGTGATATTAAAGACTTTTTACGACTAACCATTCTGGTGGAATAACGCTCTCATCGAGCGTTACTTGTAGTGCCTTATTGCGATCCGTTTTCCATGGTTGCTTTGTTCGAGTCGGTCTAGTGATCCATTCACTGACAACGAACTCGTTTGTATCGAATCGCTGGTGCGCTCGCTCGCTTGCATGCGTCAGTGTGTTCGTGCAAATTACCCCATCGTCGTTATCATAGCGCGTGAGCGCATTTTGTAATGGAACAATCGGTACGGTATCGATGATGCATCGCCAGACATTAGGGAACTGTGACGTATTGAATCGGGAATGTTTTGTCGTAATTTAGCAGTAACGCGAGCAAAATAGGGAATTCACGCAAAATGAATGTTTTGAAGCATGAAGTGATGATACTAATAGAAATTTTAGAAGAAGACAGAGCTGAGGGGGGGGTGTCCATGAGTAGTCAACGAAATACAGAGCGGAAATTTGAACATTAACCCTTTGACGACCGTGTGGCCCGCCGGTGTGCGCACGTTTCCGCTCCGCGGTTGGCGGCTCTTTTCGTATTTTATTTAAGCATTTTCTCATGTTTCAAAAGCACACATATACATTATCGAATCCGCGAAATAATGCGCTAATTACTACAAATAGAATTTTTGTAGAGTTAATAATTACTGATGAAAAAATTTGAAAAGAAGTGAAGTGACGCATGCATAACGGCGGTCGTCAAGGGTTAAGGCTCACTTTGTTAGTGCACCCTGTGTACCTCGTTGTTCTCCAAGGGGCCCAATAAAATTGTATTTGCAGATACGCGTTGATGGTAGTTTTGTGGTGATAAGTGTAGCTAACAGAGAGTTATCCATCTTGGACTATAGCGGACGCTTGAGGTTTAAGCTATGGCTAATGTTGCTAAGTGTGACTCCAAAAGAGCCAAAGCAGCTATCGTTGGACAAGTTGTTGAGTGATAAGACTTGAATGCCGTGCCCATTAAGGCGTTAGGCATATCAGGTACGTAGTAGTGAGTGAACCCAATACATGCCTAGAATACCAGGGCTTATCAACAATTCAATCATGTCCTGGTTTTCTTATGAGAAAACTCGGTTTCTCTTCTAAAAATTACAGCTCAGGCTAAAAATTGTGAAAAAAATGAGAAAATGATACGGAATTATTCTCTGGTCTTGATAATTTCACTTATTTTACACTTACATCGTGTTCATTATTGCGTAAGGTACCGTCTCACCTCCTCCAGACCGAAAAACCCTACGTACGAAACAAGGTGTCGGTAATGTGCGTGCAAAATCAATGCCTAATCCAGTGTATAAATTTCATTGTGCAGATGATAAGCTCACATAACGTCCATTCATCCATATGCGTATGAACGAAGTCGCTTATGTGAATCGTCAGCTCTACTGCAACATGATGTTGAATTAGTTTTTCCTTTGCTATGAAAATCGTATTCAGGCTCTTCGGGAACAGCTCGAGCGACGCCGACGCAACATCTGAATAGTGAGTTGCGGAAGAAGAAGCTGCGTCAACGGATAATTCAGCTAGTCGTGTTGGGGAAATTTTCTAGTGCCGATCTAGTAAGTACTGATTTTTCAAGCTTTTGAATTATTTTATCTCGTTATTGGCGTATTTTATCCTTTTTTTTCGTTTGCGCCTCATTCTCACCACTCTGCAGGTCCTGCGCCAATTGCGTAAAGATGGATTGAATGAGGAAGCGGGTATTGAGCGTCGTGTCGAGGACATCGTACGCGAAGTGTCTGAACCGTCTGGTAGCGGTTCGACAAAAATCACTCTTAAACCATCGCTTTATGGTGAGGTGAGTGGTATTTCCTGTTTCTAGGTTCATGCTACGGGCATTCGACAGTAAGCTCTAAGCTTCGTTTTCTTCTCTTGAAAACCGGTTATTTTTTCGCGCCCTCTGGGTTCTTGATTATGAGTGCTGGGTATTGGGTTGGTTATCGTGTGACAGAGCTAGCAGAAAAAAAAACCTTCTAATTAGTTACCATAGCTTGTCAGCTTGTCTTCCAATTAGTCTTTTTGTTTAATGGGACTGTAGAAATTTTCGGCGAGGGTATACGACAGAAGCTAGCTAGTTATTTAGTGAAAGATTGAGCGTGAAGGAGGAAAATTCAATTAGAGGCCAACAGACTATTACGTGTGTAGATGTCCTCAATGGGGTTCATGCAAACTTCTTCCATAGGAGAATACACATTCAGTGGCATCACCGCCGCCGGCGCTAACATTTTTTATTGGCTCACAAGGTTATTATTACAAAATTTAAGGTGGATACTCGATGGTTATGGTATAATCAAGAAGAGAAAGCCTATGTTCGTCGTGTCACCCAAGGTTTGTCCTCATCCCAGACGAAAAGCAGTACATTTGCACCAATGCGAAAAAGTGGGATGGAACGGATGCAGGCTCCAGGTCATTCGTCATCGAATTCTGTTTCGTCGGGTCAGACAGTCAGTCCTGAAGGTACGCGTTCTTTTCACTCTTAGCTGTTTTTCAGGGGTCTAGTCTGTATTAAGATTTTTTGGTGCTACTGACTTTTAGATAATGTTCATTGTGATTTTATTCTATTTTTTTACACTCACACTATTTAGCCATTCCAACACCACCGAGTTCGCGACCGGCCTCGGCTGTATCAGCTCCTATTCGCAAGACACCACCTCCGAAAAACCCGAATGTCACGATGTTGAATGGGAGCCGGGAGCAAACGCCAACGTGAGTAGTTTTTTATATTCTGCTTCAATTTTTTGAAGCTGGCTTTCTAATGTTTTTGCTATAATGAGTATATCCAGCGAGATTCAGATATTTTTTTGCTCATCAAGGCTTGATGGCCTCCCACCGTGATGCCTTTCTCCTCAATAGCTTCTTTATACTGCATCCAAAATACCATTCAATTCATCAATGGTACATGAACTTCCGCTATTCATGTTACTCAAGCTCATGTTAACAACAAAAAGTCAGCGGTGATGTGGAAACATACGCATTGATCAGTACTAGAACTATAGCCTTCAAACAGGAGTACGAGTAAGCGGAGATCGAATAAAGCAACCGGATGACTAGGCCTCACTAAAATAACAACTTGTACATTACTGTCGATCGGTTTCTTAAATATAACCCGAATTTATCAAGAGACAGCTTTACATTCCGCAAAAGTAACTCAAACAATGAAAATAGCCTTCTCTGTACGCAGTTTTAGGGGGAAATCTCATTGTGTAAATTAGTATTATCCTCAGATCTTCAGGTCCAAATAAGACAACAGAAGCTCAAAACCGTAATTGCCTTTTCATTTTACAAACAACTACTAATCTTGAAAAAAATCCTTTGCTTCGAAACTTAGCTTGTAGGAGTACTTCGTTGTCCCAATAATGAATGTGACACTCATTTTGGTATCATTTTGCACCGATTCCTGTTTCCACCAAATTAACTGTAAACGCATGGGTATAGGGTTACCCTGCCCACTGATCATCGTTTTTGACAACAATGTCGCTCGGCGCCATTTCGGTGTAACGGTACTCGTAATTGGAGGCACCCCAATCTGCGCTAGGGCCTCTGCTAAAATGAATGTCATGATTGATGTGTGCGGTTTTAGGCCGGTGTCAGGCTTTGCGAATCGAGCAATTCGAGCAGTTCGTCCTCTGCACATTGCGCCTGAATGGTATTTTTTGTGGATCCCATAATGAGCAGATTCCCATGTTTGACACCGGCCTTAGGATCAATCACTGAAATATTCCCATAGAAGGAATTTCAACAAATTTTTCTGCTCACATGGGCCCTATTGTGGAAGGGTCTGGCTTTGTGACAGTTGAACAAGGATATTTTCTCATCCGATCAAATCTTAAATCTTTTCCTCTTTCCACTGTGTCATTTTCACTTCGGATTAGTTTGCATTCGCTCGAATGGTGTTAGAACATCAGCTTGCAGCTTATTGGAAGGAACATTACCTAATGTTTCTAGTTGAGATTTCTATTCCAAAGAATTATTGTCAGCTCTATAAATATTATCTCGTTCAGCGTCCATCGGAGCCCTCATCAACCTGAAGTGCCGTCGGCAAACAAGCGCAAGGCTCATGTTCCGGCGACGACGCAGCAGCGTCCAAGCGATGGAAAACGGCCGCGACAAGAGAGTGCTAGTCCACCAGAAGACCCAACTAACCATCCGCAACATAATCAGGTTAGCATTGAGTTTTGCATCTAGTGTGACTTTCTTGCCTATGTTTTACCACCACTATGTTTGAAGACGTGTTTCTTACAGTTCTTTTTGTACAATCATGCTTTCTTTAGAAGTCGGCAGCTCGCTCGGGCGGTAGTACGGCATCGTCTCGTCTTAGCTCACCCTGTAGTTTATCATCACCTACTCAACCTTCCTGTGATTGGGATAAGAATTATGGCGAGGTGAGACTTTTTCGGCTACTATTTTACTATTTTACTGTTATTTTTGGTAGTGCTATTCTCGCCATACTTTGACCTTAGAAGATTGTTTTTAGATTAAAAATGTACAAGAGGCCGAAAAATACTTTGCTCTCTTCCAACAAGAGTATCCGGAGTATTTGGAGTGTTATAGGACCCTAAATGAGGTGGGAGTGACTTTTTTCAGTGCGTTATGTTTTATTCGCCAATTTCTGGCGTTATACTTGTTAACTCATTAATCTTTACTTTTATTCTTTTGTGTCTGTTCCCTTACAAGAATCTCGTTCAAAGAATTTTACTTGTTTACACTTTTACACTTTGTTTTGTTTCTGCTACTGCTGATATTAGTAGCTCAGGTTTTGGTTGTCGGGTCTTTTATCCGATGTGCAGCTCAATGAACTTTTTATAGGTTGCAAAGGAGTTCCGTCAACTCGAAATGCAGCTGAAGAATGCTGTTGAGAATCGTAAGGATACCACGAGGGTCAGTTGATCATCTAATTCTTCCTCTCTATTATTTTCCTTCTTCAAAAATTCCTATAAGAAATGTTAGTACTGATACTCTAGATTTTCCTTTGATATTTCCCCTTATACATGGCTTAATTTTCCCATTGTTTCAAATTCTCTACTTTTCTAACCTGTGGAACTTAACGGCAAGGAGTTAAGAAAATGTAGATGTGTAGAATCTTTGTCAGATCACATTAGGAATTTCCCGCGTCGCGAGACTCATTGCATTAGGTTACCGCTGCTACAAAACCCCCTTTACAAAACCCTTCTTGTACCCGAAACATAAAATGCATACGTGTTCGCTCAATTTGTCCTGTCGCTGAGGATATCCAAATATCTAATTTTTTTTCTGTTGGAAACCAAGACTGCTTCATATTTTGATGTGGTTTAGGTTGAGCAAACTATACAAATGCGTTTCGCTCACTTCGATAAGGATCCTGAATTTATAAAGGTTGGTTGAAGTTCTGTCATTGAATTTCCTGTTTTCCTTTACATTGGATTTGGTAAGCACCTTTTTCTTCTCACCAAGTAACGTCAATCATCAGTCAATAATTCTCAATATTGGTGAAGTCTCTTTCTTCTGTTTTTTATTGGACGTTTTTTTCTCTCGAATAATATATAGAGGTTTTTCAAGACAAATGTGAGCTTTTCTCTGGAGCTTTTCTCTGA